AAACAGCTTTTCATTTCTCTCCCGGGTAACAGACAGACGATGTCAGCAAGAAATGTAGCTCAGAAATTGTCCGACATTTTATCCAGCGTAAGTTCTCCATTGTTTCATTCTTCCTAGCTCTGTTTTGTTTCCACTTGATCTGTTTTTTGATTTGCGGAGGGTGGTGGTGTAATATGGCGAATTGAAGAAGGCTGTTCGCAGCACAGCAGCGTCTTCAAGTGACTTCTGCCTATACTTTCAGCTCATTCAATGGCCGTCATCTTCTACGTTTTCACTTACTGGGGCCTGTATAGCAACTCTTCGCCGGTTTGTTCGCTGAGCCGAACGGTCATCAAGGCGAATCGCGCCCGGTTCTCAAGTCTAAGCCAAGCTGATAGCTCGTGTCTTTGTGTCTTTTGTGAACACACGTTTGGGCAGTATTAATTGGTTAACATGGCCTCACTGAAGGCTAGCCTAATCACAGCCATGTGGTGCAAACTGCGTGCTCTAATCGGTCGTACGTGCCCAGTCGCTCAGCTAATCCTGTTTTCATCAAAGAGACAAGTCGTTGTCTGATGTGCGCTGATTGCACCGGATCACTCTTTCTCGCTGCTTGCGCGACAGTGCACATGGGGTTGTGGTTGGCAGAACGGATAGGAGCTTGTGCCAATGCATCTCAGAACGTTGTTCAGTCGAATGACTAATCGCTCGATCGATGATCTACAAGTTGAGACCCGAAAATCTGCTGATCCCATTCTATCCTCTGTAAACGGAACTGACCACAGTTCAATGTTTTACCAACTCGAAATTTTTAGCTTTCATTAAGGTCATGTAATCGATCAATACTGCTTCATTTTGTACGCACAAAAGACCCTGACACGAGCTATAAACTTGCTTTGGACTTAAGAACCGGACCTGATTAGCCTGACTAGTTCTGTTCCACTGTTTTATTGCTGTTTATTCCTCACTGTGACGCGAAATTCGGCAACTACATTTCTGGGAACCCCAATCACTCCCTTTTCTCCCCCAGACCTTCCGCAACTACATTTCTGGGAACCCCAATCACTTCCTTTTCTACCCCAGACCTTCTGTACTTCAATAGTCTTTGGTGATGATGATACTTTCCTGTCAAGATGTATGCTATCCAGACACTCGAATGCTGTTTTTAGTTGTGGATACACGTGGATGTTGGTTTATCCACATTCGGGGGATACCTCAACTTAAGACCAGCTGTATGACAACTCTGCCTCGCGCACTGAGAGCTTTGCATTTAGGTCTTGCCCTACGAAGCTTTCTAATCAAAACAGTAGGAAAATGGAGGTATTCGTTAAACGGAAACACCGTTTTATGCTCGATCACATCCATCACTGCATAACGTCAAGAATCTCGGCTCCCAGTCTATCGTCGCTCCTGGTTCGTTTGCCTGTTGGTATGTAGTGGTCCATTTCGGGTACAGAGCCTCGATAAGTGGTCGAATGTCAGACCAACGAAAAAGAAACAGCTTTGCACAAGCCTGACAGATTTATCATTCTTCTCCAGTGGCATTCAGTTGTCATGTAAAAATTGGCTGTTCTCGCTAAAGAAATTACCTTACCAGTGAAATCAAATTGGACTAAAGAACCGAAAGGCGTTTGCGTAGGTGAGAAGCAACAGCGATATTTATCTTCGAATCGAATCGAATCGTCCAGCTGCAGCACCCTTTCGGTGCCTAGCTGCCGTGCCACCCGAAAGGGGCACGAGGGCTGGAATATTGTCAGGTTGCCCAAGCCTAGACAGGGGAAGTGGAGGGGCAGAGCCGGGGTTCGAACCACGGACCTTCCGGTCAGTAAATTGGCGCTCTAACCACTTGAGCCATCTCGCCCCATATTCATTGTATGAATCTGTAGGGAGCTTCTCAGCTTCGAGTAGTCGAGTAGTATGTACACCATTCGGCCGCGAGTGGTTGATCACCAGCGTGATTAATTAACACTTAGACAGGGTATATACCGCCACCCACTCAGTTCGCATCACGTCACACGGTGTAGATCCGTCTCTGACCGTAACCCGACGCACAACTTCCACTCAGGGGGTGCACCAAGGGTCTGTTTACACGAGACTATCGTCACAGTGTTCCAACTGGCGGGTCCAACTCGCGAAAAATTTATGAGGTGCCTCATCATTCAATAACTCGGCGGCTTAAGCAGAATTTAGCTCAGAGTGGTTTCAATAAAACTTATCCTTTTATCGATTTTACAAAAGGATCAGGCCTATCGCGTAATGAACCGCCTGTCAATCCTATCCAATGACGACTCATCATAGTGTAAAGAGGAAAGTTCTTCGCTGCGTAGTCGTTTATTAGCAAACACCAACTAAACAGTTGCAAACTAGACGCGAGTTGGAGTTTCAAGAAAGTCACGTACTACTCGCATGTCTCATCAGTAATATCCGCCCTAAAGTGGTAGGGATGAGGTCACGTATTGATTGCCTATAATATGCGTGACGCTCTAGGCTTACAAGAACCGAAGCAACTTAAAGTTGGCGATGATTGTTTGGTCTTTAAAGCGGTTTTTCGGTTCAGTTTCAGTCAATCGTTCGAGCAAAGTATGTGGTCTTGCTCTGTAAATCGTTTACAACAACCTATTGCAGTTGAAAATGCGTGCAGATATTGGGTTCGGCGGGGTGTAGTTGAACAGCAGTGGGCGTTTTCCGCGCCGCTTTCCATGCTACTCAACCGCGTTAATTTTGTTTCCTTCACAGACAGAAATCAGTGTTCGGTTACATCAATTGAGCAAATCACTCCGAATGCTGGCCCCACAGCTCATGATACTGGGGAGGGGGAATTACTCTTGAAAATGGAAGAGCAAATGCGTGCCTTAATGCAAGCCAACTACGAGAAGCAACTGAAAGAGGCCGAGACCCGTGCACTGGAGCACCGCAACACCCGAGATGCCTGCACAACAGCCGTGCTTCGTGATGCCGGTGTGGCGGGTTATCAGGGTGACTCAGAGACTGAGAACGACGTTGAAATAGCTATCACTAACGCAGCTTTCCAAGCCAAACAACTAATGGATGCTGGTGGGAGCAGCACCTTGGCCGTCTCGCCTGAGTTACACGGGGCTAGTGAATCGACCGAAGATGCAGCAGAAAGTGACCTTGACCTTCAAGATCTGGCGAATAAGAGCGNGGTAAGTTTTTTTTATGGCACTAATTGTTCCTCTGTGTTTGCTGACTCTCTTTTGGTCTTGGACATGTGTTCAACTCACATGGTCAGTACTCACTGTTCAATAATCCTTTGCACTCAACCATGCGCCGCCACCTTTCGTTTTTCATTGTTTCGCTCAAACTATCCGGTGTCACATTTTCCAGGACTTTCTGATGTTTACGTACATCCAAACTTGTCGAAGAATTTTTGTTCCCGAAACCGGAGAACGCTCAGCTCCCCGGTGAATCAAACACTGTGTCGCTTGAATGGATCTCACTTATTTGATGTCTTGGGTCACTGGACTTTTACCGCCCTCTGAAGGTGAACGAGGAGCGAAGGTCCTACCATTTTTAGGCTAGTTAGTTACTGTCCATTGCGGGGCGAATTTTTGGCATCTTTAGTAAAAATCGCTAAGAATCATCATCGCACTCGAATTGGGAAGGTGCTGTTCAGATAGTATCTGATTCGTTAGGCGCCTTGTTCTCCCTCAATCGTCGTTTGGGTTCTATGCAGTGACCCTGTAGCAATACTAGTCTCGCCTTTGTAATTACCTGTGCCCGATTGACATCTTCGTCCAGACGTCACCTAATCCGAGCGTAATGCTTTCGGCTCGCCTTTGCATACGATTTGAAGCCCTTCAGTTTATTCCGGACAATCGATCCCAGTTGCAGGTGTGGCGTCACGATTTACCTGGACTGCCTTCTTTGTATGTTTGACTTGCACCACGAAAGATTCCGTAGGTGTGTTTATTCCCATGCTCTTCGGACCCCTTGACTGTCCTGTCACGAGTGAGCCTCCTCCCTTTTTCCTTTCATTCTTTGCGGGAGCTTCTTCCACCATGTTTTCTAAGCTTAGTGTTCAGTTTCACAACGGTGAACCGTGTGTGTGTATGTAGGTACAACGATTTGGATCACCCCAGCTTATGGTACCGGGTGAGGTAAGATACAGTTGGTACGTAAAACAGTTTTTCAAAGCAAAAAAGGAACTGCAAGTTAATGAGTAAGAACAACGGAATAATTACAATATCGCCACGTGTTGTGTGACATTGTCTTGTCAGTGAGCATTTCTGACCATAGGTCTGGTGTTTCTCTGATACCTGAACCTTGCAGACAACATACACCAGAGCAGCCTTGGTGTTTTTTATGCTCCCTATCCACGCCATGAGTCGTCCACTTTATGCCACCTCACAGTCCGAACCTCTCTTAGAAGACATGCCTCAGCGAAACAGTCAATCGCCAGGCGCGTTCAGCACAGCGTATTTGGCGCACTGATCAACCCATTAACTGAGCAATTCATTGGTTTATTGCAGAAGTCATTCATCGCACTTCGGCATTGATAGACTAATGCTACCGTTGAAAGGAAGCAGACCTTCGCTGGTGAGCATTTCTGACCATAGGTCTGGTGTTTCTCTGATACCTGAACCTTGCAGACAACATACACCAGAGCAGCCTTGGTGTTTTTTATGCTCCCTATCCACGCCATGAGTCGTCCACTTTATGCCACCTCACAGTCCGAACCTCTCTTAGAAGACATGCCTCAGCGAAACAGTCAATCGCCAGGCGCGTTCAGCACAGCGTATTTGGCGCACTGATCAACCCATTAACTGAGCAATTCATTGGTTTATTGCAGAAGTCATTCATCGCACTTCGGCATTGATAGACCAATGCTACCGTTGAAAGGAAGAAGACCTTCGCTGTGGGATGTTTATTAGAAAACTGAACAGTTGCAGACAGTTGGACAGGGAAGCAAAACTCTCATATGCATATGGATATCCGACTCCTTCTTGAAAGCGTCTCCCTGAACTTTGCTGGATATTCATTGGCTATCACTCAAGTGTAAAAGAATGCCACAAAGCTATTCCACAAATTCCGCAATACATCCCACGCAAAGCGGAGTTACGAGAAAACACGTTACTCGCATGCCCCATCAGTAGTATCCACCGTTACACCACGATACATAAGCAGTGTTTGGAGGCCACCAATTGTCAAGGCCAAATATTGATCCTTCATCTTCAATGCGCAGTGTCAGGGCGCACCCAGACAAGAAAAAGCACATGTGCAGAGAGTGACGCATCCCCAAGGTCACCATCGGTACGACACATCCGGAAAGTAGGTGAGTCGGCGACTCCCATCAAACACGGCTTAGCAACAGACGACCAGCGTAGTGAGCCTGAGATTGTTCAGGACCGGAACACCACCATTGGTTGTACAGATCGAACAAGTGAACGACCATATTTGGCCAATTAGCCATCCTATATATTTATCTGTATGTTTTGTCCTGGCAATACAGCCGTGTCCCCAGTTCCCTGTCTTCTCCCTGTTGCGTAGTCTGGCAGGCTCTGCGCAGGCGTAACCAATAGCTCGGCCAGCCGCAAGATACAACACGCAGCTAGCAGAATTCACAGCCATGAAATAGAACTCAACGCGCTGGAAGTTGTTATTGGCTAATAATGTGCTCGATGAATCCACAACCCAGATAGAAATCTGCTCGGTTTTTAAGTCTACGCCGCACATGAGTGCCACTTAGTCTGTGTAGAGGTATACTGGTAAAGCAGTGGTGACTAAACTGATGCCCTCATCTTTCCCACATTCGTTTATGACATCTTCTGGAAGACAGGAATGACATCTTCTGGAAGATAGGGATGACATTAGCTATGTGCGATTCCTCTGGTACTTCCTTCATCCTCGAAATCCCCTGCAAATCAGACTGTGAACAAGTCCTTCTCCATCCTTAAACAAGGCAAGAATAAGACAGCCGGGGTCAGGTTCTTTGTTGCACTTCAAAAGATTAACGTCCTTTTCTATTTCTGTCGGCTGTATCAAACTCAAGCAATAATAATGATGTATTTCTGGTCGTAATGATGGCTACATTCATAATGCTCTTGGCTGCCTACAAGAAGATACGAATCGGAGCATGGTTCAAAAATAATGTACTATGGGCTACTCTGCCTACTCTGTAATTGACTAAATTTCACATACTTTCTGCTTTAGAAAGTGTAGCATTTTCTCTCGCACACATTTATTCCATCCATTCTCACCATCCTACCGCTTTCACTCTCTTACTGTTGTCCTTGATCAGGGATAGCATTAAGCCGGGCACAGTTGAGGATGCCCTTTCCGTCCTGAACCCAGCACTGTTCGGTTCGTCAGGAGCCAAGCAAACCCTACCTCCTCGTGCAGTACGCCTACCTACCCCTGGACCCCGACCGATGGGCTTTCGACTTTCTGGTGCAACACCCACAGCTGCTGTCAGTATTCCCAGTCGCGTTGAAATCAGCCGTGTAACTTCAGAGGAAGATCCTCCACTGCTGGGTAGCTCCCAACGAAAGAAAAAACAGCCTGCCTCAAAGCACATAGCCAAAGTGGGCGCGCTAGCCGAGGCGAAGGGCAAAGCGGACTCGAAGCGTACAACCGGCGCGGGTCATACCGCGGTCCGAGCCCGCCAAGAAGAGATGGCCTCTTTTTTGTTCAGTGACTCTGATGAACATGAAGACCTCGGTAAGTGCCTTTGTGCAAACAACTGGAAGGTTCGAGATTTGTGGATGTAAGAACTTGGTCTTATCCCTCCCAATCCTCACTGTCAGTCCGCTCGATTATTTCGTTGGAACGTTTGAGTGGTTTTGGGGGCTTTTTACAGTTCCATTCACATCACTCGACTGAAAGGACGTCTTATCTAGTCATTCCACGCTATCTGGGGAATTACGGCTCCGAGTCTCTTACTTCAATTTAGTAATGAGGATGATGACGCTGATGATTGTGATAATGCAGTGACCCGCGCTCGTTCGGTAGGCGCTTTGTGATCCGAACTTGGACGCGTTCGCCCCTAACATCACAGGTTAAAGTCCAGTCAACATCAACGATACCTCCGTGAGCACAAATACGCGTGGAATGTTGATCTGTCCATTGTGGTTTAAATAAAAAAAATCGTTCAGCCATAGCACCCTTTCGGTGCCTAGCTGCCATGCCACCCGAAGGAGGCACGAGGACTGGGATACTGCCAGGTTGCCCAAGCCTAGACAGAGGAAGTCGAGAGGCAGAGCCGGGGTTCGAACCACGGACTTCCGGTCGGTAAATTCGCGCTCTAACCACTTGGTCCATCTCGCCCCCCATTGTGGTTTGCGCTAAGTCGATGAATTCTTTTTATCCATCTATCTGTTTCGGCAGTCATTTTTCTAGTTAATCCACAGCGAAGAGGAAAATCTGAAGTCAACTAGCGACCCAGTATCGCTTGTCAACTGGATATATCATCAGCCCACATGAATTTGAACTGCTGTCTTCTGACATGCAGAACAAATGCGTCACCGCTATCTCACACTGAAGAACACATTCACGCGTGATTGTTCCATGTCAAACAGTTGTCCTCTTTAGCAGGGGCACTCCGAGAGGTCCATGGAAAGTGGTCTGTAGTGGGAGAGACTTTACTGTTGAAAGGTGACCCCAGGGGCCAACGGTAAGTGGTTTTTTCTGATGGTGACCTCTCCAGGGAAGGAACAAGCGTTATATAATGCGTAATACTACTCGCCAGTACCTAAACACCCTACCTACAGTTCTGAAAGATTTGTGGGCTGTGGGATCCGCTGTGAACTTTAATCACTCCGTGTTACTGTACATTGGTATTCTGATGGTTTACGCAGTTGTTCTATCTAAGGGATCCGACCGAAATTGTTGTCTTTTGAACGAGCCGATGGGAAATGAGGTAATTAGTGTTCAAAAATGGATATTTTTCCCACTTTCTGTGATCTGCTATTCTCCCTTCTTAAACTGCACGTTCATATGGCTTTCCTTCGCATCCAAACTCCTCCACCAGTGATATTTTAGTAGTTGCTGTGTTACGGGTTTCACTTCCTCACCAAACCTGTAATGGAAGTTGTTAGGTTTACTCGAGGGGAGACTTCTTTCAATGCGAATCAACCTCGGAAAGTCCCTACCAAACACCGCAAACAAATAGAGTGGCATTCCTTCGTAGTAAACATGTGATCAGACCCAAAATATCTCAGCATTACGAGGGATTTCTTTCTGGAGCTCACCAGGTGCGCGTCGGTCGAACTGGTCACGGACGAAAGGTTGAACCAAACAGGTTTCATCTATATATCCGGCCATGTTCAGGTTATCAGATCTTCCATGAAGACGCGATGATCCGTGGTTCTAGCCCAACTTTCGCACGCGGCTGTTCCTATTTAGTCCTAGGCAATCTGACAATGCCTCATCCCTGGAGCTTGTCTCTGGTAGTATCAAAGCAGTTGAACGGTTGATATTTTTTACCTTCCAAAAGCATGATCACAAACACAAAAAGTGTATCCAAGTGATAGATGTGGAAGGATGTACCGGAGGACGTTAGATTAAACGAGGAAGACATTCTATCCGAAAGCGTGCCATCAATAGTTTACAGTCAGACAAGATGATTTCCAACTTACGTAAGGATATTTTGTGTGTAAATAGTGTAAAGACAAAGCAATTGAAGAAAGGAGGAACATTGCTGAATGCTCTTCAAGGTGCAGTAAGCGCTAGCGCAGTCAAGATCCGAGCGTCAGGCGCAAAGTGTCCGTCACACAGAGTCAGGTGTGAAAGTCAATGCCAAGAATGTACATGTACCACGTATAAAAATGTCGTAAGTACATGCAGACTCTAAAATGGTGAACAAAGATAAGTCACTGATTGTGACCGTATGAAGCCCCTCCCTCAGCGGATGGAGAAAAGCAGATCCCTCGATACGAAATGATCATCGATTCGTCAACCAAAAAACTAACATCACAATCGCTGGCACGTAGGGTTGAGATGATGGCGAGGGAGCAGTCATCAGCATCGTACCTCTGCCTCTCATTCCACACAATTACTCCGCGGCCATCCGAGACTGGGTTTACATCCATCACAGTTGCTCGGCGCTCCCGAACTGCGATTAGGTCAGGATTGATGGTTGACGGCATCGTCAGTCCAAGAACCCTATTCCTCGCCATCATGAACAATATCGGGAAGAGTTGACCTCCCTATCTCACAACTCTGTGGCAGTGAACTTCGTAATTAGGGGAAACTGCTACGGCATCCTCGTAGGATTGTGCGGCATATCGAACTAGGAGTGACGCCTCGGTAGATCTGACAATTGTGTCGTGTGAAACCGAGTTGAATGCTTTTGAGACACCACTAAACGCCAAACTGACATTAAAAGTAGCCGGTTAACAGGGACAAAGTGGAGCAACGTGGCTTCCAAAACAACCGTCTCGATGTAGAAATGCAAACTGGAGTGAGAACAGTTGAAATCTGCAGTTCCTGTGATCAGCAAGCACCTTATGGAAGGATGAATGACACGAAGATCGGTTTCAGTTGGTTTGGCGGAGCCGGAACTGTTGTAATACGAGTACGACACAGACGCGACAGACAGCCCCCAGATAGGAGTAGTACTCAGCGGGGGCGTTGTCATTAAAGTGGCGAAGTATCCGCGGGACAAATTACCCATTAAACGAATTGTACGACGGGTTCCTCACCTCTATTTGACTCACTCAAACTCTATGGGGATGGTAGCACTGCTCGGTTTGGCCGGCCATCCCCGCGTTTTAGAGCAGAGTACTTGTTACCAGTACCGTTCGGCTTCCACAGGTAGGCAGCAGTTAACTCTGTATGGACCCTTCCGCGAATCGTCGAACACAGCAGACACTGCATATTTCCGCCTTTGGTGGTATATGGTCTGGATTGCGGCTAAGAGGATCTACTTTGAGTTGACCGGCACACAATGGGCTAGATGGCAATGGTGTTGGGAGACAGGATTCCACGTGTGTGGAAATGTCTTCGAGGCTTGGAGGCCCATAAATGACAGGACTTGTTCCGGTGTGATGATGCCAAACTGCAACCCACGGACAAATTCCAGAAAGTCAACACTAGCGAGCGAACTGTCGAAATGGGATTCTAAGAGTGACATGGCGCACTCCACGAATTGTTGGGACCGGAAGATATAATCTTCAGGGTCCGACGAATAACCCGTTGTTTTTGATCAATGGTTTGATTGGGGTCACCATATGATCATTCATTTTCTTGTGTTTGTCAGTTAAGCACCCGTAGCCTGGTTTTGATACTGACCGACCAGGGAAATACTGCTCCAATGTCGCGAACAGCGCAATTTGCGTGTCACAAGATGGATACAAATTTTTAGCCAGGCACAAGAGTGACTGTGACTCTTGTCGGGACCAGCAGGCACCGGAATTCTTCACTGGACCAAGCTTATCTGCATTACGTTGGATGGAGTGTGCATGTCGGCGGTACTGACTTAGGCTACTCTTCGAAAAAGTGATGGAACAATCAGCGCAGGCCAATACCATGGGTACGATCGTGCCAACACTCTGTGGACATGAAATCGACCGTGGACCAGATTTAGATTTGTAGCACTTGCCACGGTCCTCACTTGTGAGCCCCACAAGTCCCTCTTGTGTCCTGTTTAGAACTGGTGCAGAAGGGCCAGCTGAGTCATGTTGTTCATTATCGAAAGTAACCGGGACTTTAAAACCAAAGAGCATAGTTTGTCCAGCCCGGATTTGCTGAACTCTTATTTCACTTGGACTGCACTCGGGCTGCTCATCTGGCAACACAAAGAGGTGGTTACTATCTTAAGAGCCTGACGTGCTGTTCATCAGTGGACCATCCTACGAAGAGTTACTTACCTGGTCGTGGCTAGTGATGTGTTCTCTCTCTCTCTCTCTGAACAACTTTTGTCAGGCATCTCAATGAGGTGAAGTTGTTGTGGCTACTGTCTCGAATTTACCTACCTCTTTTCCTTTCAGTTTCGCTTCCGGAAGGTGGTAAGAATCGTGAGCTTGTTATCGCAACGGAGCGGAAAAACCGCGAAGCTGCAGCACAATCCTACGCACAACGACGCGCCGAGGAAAAGATGAACCGGGAGCAACAACTGACCGAGCAAGCCAGGCGGAAACAAGCCGCACAACAGAAAGCCCAAAAGGTCGAACGAAGGCGTTAGTGAAACGAGAAAAGAGTAGTTTTATTAGTACCAAATTGTATTATGATATCTCTGTCTTTCCGCACTGTACAGTTCCCTTGTTCAATACTCCAAGCATGTTGTGATCTCAGGTCGTTATCGAATTGACAATGTCTGTCCTGTCTTTTTGTTTGTACTGTATCGTTTCGCACTTCGCATTACGTCTGGGTTGCGCTTTGAAGCTGTTGCTCGTGAAGGAAGACGCCACATGAAGCGATAACTTAAATTGTGGGTGCAACGTTGGAGACGGACGCATTCACTGATCGCGGACTCGTGTAAAACCTCAAAACAAGCCCCATATGAATGGTGATCGCTAGGCAGGAAAAGCTGTAGACCCTATGTGCAATACAGATGGCATCCATTGTTTGTACTCACTCTGCGCCAAAACCACCAGATACGCACCCACTTTGTTTCGGAATTTATGAAAGCTCAGTGTATGAATCTTGCACCCTGGGTTTTGCTGATTGGGGATTGCGCACCACGAGAACTTCTAGGCTAACTATTGTTTACGGTAGATGGTGCTTTCTCAAAACGCACCATGTTCAAGCCAATTATTTCAGGTATTGTTCTATGAAGACATCTACAGAATGGATTTCTACGTTTCCCTTCTCGTGCATAGCTATTTAAAGTAGCTGAGATAGCTAAGCCCGACCGATTTGCAGCCGAATTATCTTCCCATATTCAGCGCGAATTTTCTATTCGACTGCTTGTTCGCCAAACTGAACAGTTTTCAGTCGGCTGCAAAACAACAAACCCTAGCATCTGGATAGTCAAGAGGAGTTACAGGACCAATGAATCTGTGTTTGATCCACACGGTGGCGTGTCATACCAAAGCATTGGAGTGTTGAAATATGGATGATTGCCCCACCAGGAATGCATATGTTCATCCATTCCGTGTGATAGCATTTTGTCGTGGCCGGTCCCACGCAATTGGGAAACCAAGCGGCCACGCATGAGTGAATATCACTCAGCTTGTGATGGACGCATGCGACTGGCTTCTGTTGGAATGCACTAAGTAAGCCAGCGAGATTTAGACCGGTTCCTACCGTTCCTTGTTTCATGTGATATTAGCTTTCAACAAAAAATGGTTGGTCTTAACGCATGGGTAACATTTCACGCAATAGGTAAATTCTCGCCTAATACACCCGATACAATAACGCATGACGTTCTAAGGAAATGGCCTCAACAAAATTCAAGTGGGGATGCGAAGTGGTTTTATTTCAATAAGCTGCATTAGCATTCTTCGTCGTCGTGTTGAAATACGTATTGAGGTCCTCGCTGGTCAACGCCACGCCACAGGTCACCACGGAATACGACTTTTTTCGGGTTTTCGCGGATACACTGTTTCCCATAGGCGGTGAGAATCTTGGAAACCTTGTCTTGCGCTTTCGCTGTGAACTCGTCATCTGGGAAGAAGCACGGCAAAGGATCACAAATCTGGTGAGTCTGTTCCGTTACCGGAAAGTTCCAAAGTCCATGGAAGGGGAGCAAGTTGTAGCCAGTTTCATTGCAAACTTGTTGAAGCCAATGTTGCGCCTTAAGCTCTTCCGTATTGAGAGCGCCACCCTTGGTCATGGCAGTAGTGAACACGTTTCCGGTGAGACCGTACCCAAACAAGGAGTTCAAGTATTTGTAATACCCCAGTCCCACACCATTGTACGTATCAGATTGCCATTTATTTACGTCTCTGTCATTCCCATAAGGTGACGAACCAAATATCTCTTCGGATGAGTAGATGAGGTTCACCTCATTGGTCGTTTCGCCACCATGCAGAAGTGTGGCAGGACCCACCTGCAAATTATGTCCAAACTCATGTACGAATGGGTGACTTCCACCGCAGGAGACTATATTCTCCCAGTGAACGTAGATCCAACTCCATCCCAAAAAGCCCATCATTGGGTATCCCGCGTGTCCCCATCCAGCGGATATGTGTACATCACACGCGAATGCCATCTGACCTGCCTTCGTGTGATCTGTCCCACGATAGTTGTGTATCATCTTGATCGCTTTGTCCATGTAATTTCCACCACGCAACACATTAGTTGTGTTGGATATGATTACGTCTTTTGTTAATAGTGATGTGATCAGATTATCACCATTGACCAGCGTCCAAGGCATATCGCGGTATTTTTCCACCTCAGCGGGGAATCTCTCAATGGATTTTGGGTCCCGTAGATCCACATACGGATGCTTGTAGACATTTTCCAATCGTATGGTTATGTTCACTCCAGCCGGTAGTTGCAAAAATATCGGGCCACCATGAGCACTGCAAATCTGACCTTGCGCACTCAGTTGTTTTGTTGTGGTGACCACAGACATGCGCAGCCAGGAATCGTGGTGTTCGATGCCATCCGTTTGCCAATTCACACGAATATGCTGGTCGTGGAAATTCGGATGGGAGTTTTCGAGGACTGTCCATGAGAAGCCCTGTCCCGGTTTCGCGTACGCGGTTGTAGGAAAGAATCTGGAGTGAAACGGAGCATGGATTGATGTGGTTATGGTAGTTGGCTTCATGTTAGGCGGTACATCTAGGGAATTGGGATGCATTCCGGGAAGCGCCGTACAAGTCTCGCCAGTCTGACGCAGCAATATTACATTGTAATTGTAAATGGCAGTCGCCGTGTATGGATCTTTCACATAGGGACCATCCTTGCAAGGGGAGATATGTCGAATGAATGGATCGAATCGATCTACAATCATTCGGATTAGCCTTTGCACTTCCGGTTCACTCCACTCTTCCCAACTCCATACATTCTCAAATCGCTTTGTTCGGAATAACGTCCAGCTGCTGACCATTCGACGGAGTTCGTATTCGAGTGGCGTAAATCTCGTGGTCGTGATCATACTTTGCAAGTTTATATCTTGTTCGGCCGTCCAGATTCCGTTCGAGGCGTACTCAATCTCCAACTTATTGAGTAATTGTTTAAGGTTGTCTTCTCCATTTCCACGAATAAACCCAACCACTGCCGAATTCTCACCCGAGATAATCTGCGAGTAAACTTTTTCCACATCGAATTTATCGGTTCGTTTTATCAGAATTACGTCACCTGGTTTGTAGGTAGATTCAATTCGCACGAAATCAGCGTGTTTATGTTGTCCATTTGTCAGCCACTCTCTTAAACTCTGGCGCCACTCATCGTATTTTGTGTTGTTGGGCAGCTGGTCAATGACTTGAATCCCGTGAATCACAACCAATCTGCCGCTTTGTCGTTTCACGGCCATAGCCACGGCGCGGTTTTGCACAACGCCCAAGACTACGTCCTTGAGGTCAGACCTTGGTCTCCACTCCATATGGATCGGCTGAACAAACAGCATTTGCTGAGTCCCGACAATTGCCTTTCTGGTTTCCTGTAAACCCACCGGGAGAGAAAGAGAGAGAGGGAGTGGGTGAATTGTCAAACATGCCAAATCAGTTACGCGTCAATTCTAGCCGGTTGCTGAAATATTTGATAACGTCTTTTTTCCTCTTCGATTAACGCCTCTTTCGTCCTATCGTGAGAAGGAAGTGAAGGCGCCCAGTGTATCTATCTATCATGGCTGTCGGTAGCCTTATGGTTTGTGTATTCCATTGGGAAAATACACTGAGCTATCTCGAATATCGTACCAGCATAACCACGAGCCGGTATTTATGCAGCCTATTTAGTCGAGCAATGCCAAACGAGTTTCGCTTGAGTTTCCCATTGATAACAACTAAGTTTGTGAATGAGTGTTTTTCCACCAATATGCCCATCTGATTTGCCATTGCAGTTGGCCGTTACCACAGACAACCTCAAACTACCCGTGCCTTCGAGCGCCCTTGCTGACGAGCTTGTTTCCTGAATCAGTGAGGTTCATGTACTAGGCCGGGTTTGATGAAGTAAATTGGTGGCCACTTTATTGAACACAGTGTTTTTCAATCCGTATTGTGTTAGACCGTTTCACTGGAACTCCACCCTCCACTCCGTTTTGCAAAATTCCAAGATTTTCAGTTGCCTTTCAATGAAAACTCGGATTCGTGAATCATCATGCCGTGTGGTGATCGATTCTCTTTCGCTCGGCAACCACAGTATGAAGAAAATCTACGACTTTGAGGAGTAGATACACAACAACCCACTACCCGGTCGTCACAAACCTTGCCCCTCGCACGATTGAACCAGCCGATCGGTATTTTCAGTAAAACTCATTCTGTTTGAATGAGAAAACGCAGGGATATATTCAGTCTAGTGTAGTCAGACAAGCGGACGGGATCGCTCTGAATTCGTCCCTATATACCGGCAAAAAGAACTTCCCGAAACCGACATGACACAGGTTGACAGGTGCTTAGTTCTACGGCCTAGTTCATCCGCTTACGTTGGTCGTGACCTGACAGCATGGCACTGGCCGGTAAACTAACCGAACAAGCTTTCTCAGTGTGCAAGGTTTTCAAGCTGGTGCAACAATCTTCCTCTTATAAAGACGACCAGGAGCTAACCAGAGCAATGCAAATTTTCGCACAATCGCGATATCTACATGGGTATTATGAGAAAATGTGTCCAACAAGCCTGACTCCGAAAATAATCGGTCCCGATAATAATTTATGTGAAACAAAGTAGTGGGAAAGACAACGAACGTACCTCGTAGTAGTTTTCAGAAATTGGCTCTTCTGGTGGCATTGGAGGGCCGAACGGCTCATGAAGCATAGTCCCGAATGCTTGAATCTCAGCCATAACAATGGGTGCGACACCATGGGGAGCGTTTGGATTTTCGCGACCGATTATGATCCACTGGACTGGTTTCGTTGGATGCAGAATTATTTCTTCGCCCTTACGCTTAAACATAAGCCCTTTGGCGAGCACATCCCAAGGATGGAGTTGTTTATAGTTACACGCAGTCATATACCCGCCGTACGTGTGAACGTCAAATGTCTCATTGATTCCAGCGTCACCTGCAAAGTTCGCATAAAATAAGCGTGTCGGCAGAGAATTGAAACCCGATACTCGGAAATAGTTGTGAAAATCTAACGATGAGCAGTCGCACTCAGCATTTATGTTGACTGTAGCAATATCAAGCGATGGACACTGGCTTATGTGTTGTCAACCGTAACTTCCGTTCATGGGACGTGGTGTAGACTACGTTCATGCTTGAAACTAACGTTCCCCAATCAGTATCAGTGAATGATACGCACACTTCGCAGTTGCAGTGATGCCTGCGAAACGTGGGATGGATCTCAAGTACTTGTACTAGTTGCATATCTCTTAACAT